ATGTGCCGTGGCAGAAGCGGAGGGCTTCAGCACTGCGGAAGCTACACAAGCCTTGACAGCGTAGTGGAGAATAGTGCTTCAGCAGTGTGCGTCTGGAGAGATCCATTGCAAAAATGGTCCGAACAATGAACCAAAACATCTCGTTTAGCCTAATACACCCTTTAGGGCCAATGCGAACACTGCATGCATCTTATAATGTCTAAAACCCCAAAACGCAAACATAAGAAGAAAAAAAAAATGGTGCACGTGAAACTTATTTTGGTGCCAACTTCAGTTTTCTGTATTTTGACACCACGAACAAGAACGACTGAAATTCTCAAATAATACGAACAAGGAAAAGAAAGAAAAAAAGAAGAACATGATATTTCAAAAATATGTTTCATCTCAGCGAGAACAGCAAAATATGATCACGGGAAAAATGCAGGAAAACAGTGCTGAATAATAGATACGTCCGCGACACAACTGGAGCATACTTTATTGTATCCTCAAAAAAAAAAAAAAAAAAAAAAAACGAAGAGTGTTTTCGTGTCTTGTTTTACTCGCATTTACGATCTCTTCCATACGTTGTGCACAGTTTCGTTCAAGCACGTTTCAGTCCTCCAAGCGACACTGTTTTATTTAAGCTTTCCTAGAAAAAATAAACATTCCCCGTCGCAATCCGCCTCTAAATATGAATGGAAATCTCTCGAACTTGGGAATGCCAGCAATGACGACGAAGAACGCGCCAACCAAGAAGCAAAACAGCTGTCTAGTAGAAGCCCGCTGGACGTAAGGGAATCGAGCAGAAAACTGGATTCCCAATGTCAATCCCCAGTTTCCGCGGCCCCCTTCAGTTTCATTCACAAACATAGGAGTACGTGCGTATCTCTGTAACCCGAGAATTCGAAAAGAAATAGGGAGCAGTGATGTGATTGGGCAAAGCCCTTTTGGAGCACCTTTCGGAGCAGCCAAAACAGTGTTTTGGAGCAGCAAAAGTGAATTTTGGAGCAGCCAAGACAATGTTTCGGAGCAGCAGAAGTCGCTTTTGCAACAGATATTCCTATAAAAAAAAAAAAGATCGTTTTAAGTGCTGTACAAACGAAGGGCACTTTGTGTTGTGCTCTGATGTGACTTGTTGTGACGAAACTCGCTGCTTGTGGTTCTACTGCTGAGACATCCCACAAGTGTACAGTGCTGTAGGCATTAACGAGCAATTCCGATAAACCGCTTGCTACCGTTTTACTGGTTTCCGACGTGCCAGATTTTCGGCAAAAGTAAGCAAACTTAAAACAATAAATTGCAAACGCCCCGGCTGGTGCCTCTGTCGTGCAATCAAGTTCGCATGCACGTGAGGACAACTTCTGCAGGTTTGCAGCTTCGCGTGTTTCGTCGCGCGAGTGGAGATAACGGCAGTGAGATCGAAACCGAAACCATGCCACTCTGCTTCGTCGCCAACCGATTTCCAAAATTGTATGCAAAATGTAACTGTTGAGCATATGACGAAAAACAGTCCACCGGCGCGTGCTTGCCAGGCCGGCAAACAAGGTACAAGCTAAACGCACGCACGCACGCACGCACGCACGCACGCACGCACGCACGCAGACAGACAGACAGACCCTGAGCGCATCGATGCAATGCATCGCGAGCCAGGGTCAAAAGTTTCTTGGAGCGCTTTGTGCAACTACTGAACTCGAGATAAGCATGCGCGCTGTGCGGGTTCAGCGCGCAGACATTGGCTGTGTTCCAAATCTTACCCAAATGGATTCGAGTTACTCCGGCGGAACGTATCACTTGAAAGCACTGATTGAAAAACGCTGGACGGGAATAAGTTAGAGTGCCTTCATGTTCGCGAAGCGGGACATGAAGGCACCCTAGGGTAGGTTTTAGAACGCCTGGAGTAAGATCGAGTAAATTTTGGAACACGGCCATTGCCTTCCTTGCTTTAGCTCACTTCTCTTCACCGACTTCCTTTCGTGGCAAATTTTTCACGTACCGGGGTCCTTATCGAAAGAAAGCCCACCAGAGAAACCTAGGTAATCAATGGCGAGTTTTAGAATAGGGGGCCCCACAGCTTTGGGTGCCCCAAAAAGCTCGAGGCGTCGCAGTGGGCATGCGCAAAAGTTCAGCGCATGCGCAGAAGTTCAGCGCATGCGCAGTGGGACGCCCCAAGCTGTTTGGGGTACCCAAAGCTGTGGGGACCCCTATTCTAAAACTCGCTAATACTTCGACACAGCAGTTTTTGTACTTAGTTTCACTAAAAAAGCGCCATATGTGCAGCGACGTGGGGACGGCAACACCCGACGTCACGCGATCACGCTGACCAGAAGGCAAGGACCAAATATAGTTTTCCCACGGCCGTTGCTTTCAGGAGTGAGTGCTTCAGCTCACAAAGTAACTCCCGCCGCGCAAAAACGTGGTTTCGTTTCACAGCATGACGGCATGGCTGGTACCCGGCACGCTAGCGTCGGAGCGTCCGCGCACAGCTGCGTCTATCGTTGAAAATATTTTTGAAAACGACGCGAGTCGAGATCCACGAGACGACGAGAGCGCGAAACGCGAGACTGCGGAAAAACCATGCAAAACCGGATGGCCAATTGACGCACGATACTTTGTGTCGGACGGCCGCTTGCGCCACAAAAAACAGGCATGCTCAATTACGGTACTCGGTTTAGTTTCGGTTTTGAAAGGCGACCGAAATTGACTTTTTGGCGCAGGCTTAGCGCAGATTACCCATATTTTGGTAAAATGTAGCAGGATGTAGCAGGGTTAGCCCCTTAGCGCAATAGACCCTTTACGAAAGTCAGTCTACCCACCTTGTGCAGAGCCAGACCCGACGCTCTAATGGCGGAACTACACTGTTTCTCCACACCAGAAAAATCGAACGTCTTCGAAAGCATAGAGCAGAAAAAGGAAAAGATGTTGGTCCTTTCACGTCACCTTCGATGCACGGAATCGAGGGTGTTTGATTTAGCCGCGCATGATCTCCTATCACCGCCATTAGAGCGGCAATAATGGAGCTTTTTATACTGCCACAAGAGGACTCTGACTTTTGAAAAGGGTCTATTGGCGCAGCAATCACATCACTGTAGGGAGGAAACTGCAGTAACACAGTGATTTAGAAAGAATAATAATAATTGTGTTTAGACAGCCGGAAGGTAGCCAGCCCCAAATGGGCGCCTGGTGTCGCGGCTGTAGACGATACATTTTGCCAGTGTAGTTGAACTGCTAGCCTTTCATAACGCAGTACACGACCACACGCCGGTAGGATGGTTATCCAGATCGAGACTGGAAGGGCTGGGAATGGAACCCAAGATTCTGCTGCTTCACCGTAGCCTCCCTCCTCTATTGGCGGCGAGATGTTTTTGGTGGCGCCCTCGTATGGTTCCCTTTCGTGATGTCATTACCCTGCGAACAAAAAGTTGGATGGTGCTTGTAATGAGCCTGGTGGAAGCTTGAAGTCATTGCGCTTAGAAACCAACGCTGTCAACACCATCGAAATTGAAGTTCTTCCAATACTCTTATTTTCGTCCATGAGAAATCCTTTGCTGACGTCATAGTCAGCATTCGGTCAATCGTGGAAGGCCGACTACAGCGACGCTTTCGATCGCTCACGTCGCCAATACTCACAAATCCTGGCAGTTCGACGGCGGAGTCATAGAGTGCCCGGTCGCAGATTTGGAGCGCAAGGATACGGTAGCACAGAGCATCGACGAGACATTTCTAGGAGAACCTGGAACTCAGCGCACAGCTTTTGCAGCGGCGAGGACCCGAAACACACTTGTTCACTCGGGAGAAGTGTGTTTCGGCGTCTCGCCGCAGCGGGGCGCCAGTCACGTGTCTCTCCTGTCATCTGTTGTTTACCGCTCCACCTTATCAATTTGGGCGGTCGCTTCTCGTGGAGATCTGCCAGGCTTTGTTATGGCTCCACGCAACGGAGCCCGGCGGTGGAAAACCGCCGACGATAAGAGACGGAAAAGCACCGCTTGGGCGCGTTTCTCTGCTGCACGAGTGGCAACTTTAGCACACCAGTGTGCTTCCCACGGGCTCCCAAGACGTTCTCAAATTTACTAATTTAGTGTTTTTTGGGTGACGCTCATTAAGTTTGTACATGAAACCGTATGTTTATTTTCACTAGTTCAAAATTAACAAATCTAATTTAAGGACTTATCGTAACGATTCATTCAGGCGGCACTTGCCTAACTTTTATGACTTAAAAAAAAACACAACAAGAACAGTCTAAACTCTAGAAGGTTTTGTATAGAGTAGTAAAAAAAGAAAAGATTAACGGTATCTTTTTGATCAAATTATTTATCTTATTCGGCAAAACGCCCATGAACATAATCCAGCAGGGATCTGAACACAGTGTAGATCTGACTAAAGTCGCTACCGTTTCTCGTTTTACTGAAGGTTTGAAATTACGTCCAAGTGCATATTATTTAATTTTGGGTCATCATTTTCTTTACCCATCCTATTACGACGCTTTAGCGTTATATAAATAACGGGATGGAATACTGGTGGGAAGCGATTTGTTGGCAACACGGCACCGCGAGAAGTTGTGGGATCGCGGTTTGATCATTATAGTTTTAGCGTGTCGTCTTAACGCGAACGGTTCATCCCGGAACGAGTCAACGGCGCTAAACAAATAAACAACTTTTATCGGGAATGGTTAATCAGTAAATACTTCTCAATGTAGGCTCGATTTATATCCAGCCAACGCCTCCCAGGACTTGGTCACCAAAGAGAAGGCGTTTGTGAACAAACCCAAATGTTGTCCAGCAGCATAATATTCAATATGTCGAATTACTTGAGAACTTGAATACTACGAATTCGAAAATCGGATCAAATCGCCCGGAACATCACTGTTCGATTGGAAATCCAAACTTGCATATTCACACACCCTTCTTTCTATCCAAGGTTAATAAGCATACAGGAATAGTTGAACCGACGCTCTGAAGTTTCTAGTGCCCACACATGCCGATTGCCACCGACACAGGAAACGGTCGATGTTAGACAGGCAGCACTTTATATAATCCACCCAATTAGGTTTTTATTCAAAAGTAGAAAACCTACAGAGAAGTGGGGTTTTGATCTCATACAAGGAAGTGCCGGGCTGCACATAATGCATATTATGCAATGAAGAGGATGATGACTTGAAGTAATGGAGAGCATAGGGCTCGCTCCGCACTCGTCGCAGCTGCCAGGCGGTAGCTGCATTGCATGCCCAGTGCATAACTAAACCGAATTACCAGTTTCGATCCTGTTTGTGAAGTCAGAAACGGGAAAATAAAGATTGCTTGCAAACGCGTACTGAGTCAAGAAAACATGCCTTGGTATACTCCGTTTCCCAAGAGCGAGTTTTAGGAAACCGAACTGCGCATGCGCAAGTCTTACGCGGTACAGCATGTGCAGTTCGTATCGGAGGGCCCATCGCACCGTATCGAATGTGCAAAACCGGTTCCCTAAAACTCTCTATTGGAAAGTCCGACCATAACCAACAATATACGATCTGATGAAGCTAGTCAAGCTGCACCAAAAGTGCATCGTCATGGCACTCCACGGCTTTGCACGTTTGCCATCACTGACTATACCAATCACGTACGGCAAAACAAGGCAGGATCACGACACATTTACAATGCGCAACTGGTTTAGCCGCCGATGCGAAACGCGCAGACGACGAACGCCACGATACACTTTTGGCACTGCTTGATTGGCTCAATCGGATAGTAGCCTTGGCTGCGATCAAGCTTAATATGAAACGGAGTATTAAAAAAAAACTTAAAAAAAAATCACACACTTACGACTGCTTAATGCCAAAAAAACTAAAAAGCGGTTTCTTTTTTCTTTCTGTAACTGCTTAAGATTTTCGCAGTGGTCGTAAGCAGTCACAAAGGCTTAGAAAAAGGCTTTTAGCCTCTCCGGTCATAGGTAGTCTCAAGTGTGTGAACCGCCCTTTGAAATGCAGCCAACATTCTGCTAAAAGTTCCTCTTTTGTGCACTGGATCGTAATTTGTGCCGGGGGTATAAGAGGCAATTAGAGTATGAATGAGGGGGTGTAATAAGGGGAGGCCGATGCAACACCCTCTAAATGACACGGCTAGATTGTGCTAACTCTCGACTTATGGAGGGCACAGATGGGACACCAGAGCAAAGGAAGATCAGCGGGCTCATTGGTAAATAAATTCGAGGCTGATCATGAACAAAAGAATTTAACTTACCTCGATACTTCACATAAAGCCTACTGACACAAAATTCATTGTGGGTTTGTGTGAACCTATTTCAATCTGTTTTGCCTATTTGGCTTCTGGGGTAAGTTGTTATGGATGCTGTGTGAGAGTCAAGGGATAGGAGGGCACAAAGGTCAGTTAGAGAACACTCCGGGGACAGTGTAGCTAGGGAAATGGAGAGTGGGGGAAAGGGAAGAGCCAGGGTGGCAGCGGTGTGCAAGAGAGAGTGAATGGGTGGAACTTGCACAGAGGTAACAGCCAGGACTGGGACAGTAAAGAGTGGAGTTAAGCCTATGAATTGTTTGAAGTGTGATAGGGAAATATAACATCCGAGATGGACACGTGACGCATTCTGCACCAGTTGGCTTTATGCTAAGTATCAGGGCACCGCGAGTATGTGGCTGTTATAACGACAGGCATCCAAGCTGCCCTACTGGTGGCAGGGTAAGGCCATTGGACTATGGAGCGAGAGGCCCTGTCCTAAATTCCTGGCAAGTGACGATGTGATTTTAGTTTTCCGGGTCTCGCCTGTCAGGTGCCAGGGGAGACTTGGTCGTGTTAGTGAAAACTGTCATTCATTTTTAACAATGCTCTAGACTTCAATAACAGCCCTAAAACACGTTTTGCATTAAAAAGAAAAGCAGTAAGAAAAAAAATTGAGCAAGATAAAAGAAAGTACAAGGAATTGATAGGGGTATTTGTGGAAAAATTCAAAAACCAGGATATGAGCACACTACGGTAGGTTCTTATGACGGAGAGGCTTTTGATGTTACCATCTCTATTTTTCACAGTATGCATTCATTCCAAAGGGCTCTGGGACATAAAACTTACAAATAAGATAAAATTAGTGTTTGTGATGACTGTTGAAGTTGGTATGCAATATGAGCACTGCACAACACTGATAGTTCAAACACAACTTTGACACTTTTTTACATGTTATTTTGAAAGGGACTGGTGGGCATTAACATTTACCACTGAGGTTAGTACCGCAACTGAGCAATCTCTATCACTATAGTAGTTTTGATGACAGTCCTTCAATGCTGAGAAAATACTCTATGGCTTATCTACCCTAACAGTGTTATGCCATGTACAACACGAGCACTTCAAAATTACATTCCAGCTTAGCTTGCAGCTTTGCTATGGCTTGAGAGTCTTGTGCACATCAGTTGAATAGCATCTCTGATGTACCATTTGCGACATGTGTCACATTAATGACAGCAAACTACACTAGATGACCGACCTGTAAAGCCAGAATTATTTTTGCGGACACAGTCAGAAGCAATGCTCTGCACTGTATTGAGCTTGTAGATGCTTGCAAGCTTCCCACCTGCGCCGACCTCAGAGCTTCAGAATAAATTCCACACTAATCAATAAGAACCAAGAATTGACAGATATAGTCTTATGCTCAAGGAAACAAAGGAACAAATGTGAACAAGATAAATAAATTAAACAGTTGAGATGTCTGTACAGAATGCACCCTAGTGTGGTTGGGCGACTGCAACGCACAGCCACCCAGTCACACCATGGGCCTTAAGTTGGACAATGGAACCAAGGGACTGGAACATCATCACTCACTGCGATTGGTCAGCGCCAACGCTTTCTACATTGGCGGGCGGCAATGTCCCGGCCCCACCGTCCAACTTAGGGCCCCAGGCACGTTTGTCCGAGCTTTCGGGAGGCACGTAAGACAGTGAATCGCGCACATATTTCGCCGCCCTTTCGTTTGTCTACGATCAAACAACTCTCAATTGTTACGTCGCCTACCAAAACACGAAACGAACGGATGCCTCGGCCAGTTCGCAACGCACATCGTCGAGAAGAAGGAAGTCCTTCATGCTGGCCGGTAGAACTAGTCGAGACACCTTGGACACCAGGCTCTGACCCAGCCGTCTCCTGATTGTAATGCGGCAGAGTTCGGACAGCCTGAGCGGATTCGTCTTGACGGTGCGCAGCCAGTGCCTGATGGCCGTCTCCTGCGCCCCCAGCACATTCTGGTTCACCTCGGCGTCTGGCACCGCAAACCTGTTGAGGTCGTAGCCCGCATAGACGATCATCTTCACCAGCCTCAGCTCTCGGAGCCGCTTGGCCAGCCACAGGTTGTCGATGGCGCACGTGTAGACGTTGCCGCAGTTGACGTCGCATCCCTCGCGGATCAGCTCTTCGGCGAAGAGGAGCTTGTTGGCAATGATAGAGCGGAAGAGGGGCGTGTCGCCCGTGGTGCCGCTCTCGGCGTTCATGCGGCACCCGGCGCTCAGCAGGATATCCAGGATAGAGCGGAAGATGTCGAAGTTGGATTCGTCCAGGTCCGTCACAGCTTCGTGGAGCAGGGATAGGCCCGTGAGGCTGTTGGTGATGTTCACGTCCCCGCCTGCGCAAGACCAACCATAGGAGGACGACTGAGCTGCATGCTAGGCTGCCTTTGCATGCACATGCCCCCACAGACAATACAAGTTGAAACACCCGATTCGGCCTTTTTTCGCATATGCGGTCCTCAACAGCGTCGTTATCTCTCAATTAGTCGAAACGTCCAAAGTGTGGAAACCCAATTTTGCATTACGCTCCTAGGTCGAACCACAACTCTCAAAAACATGAAGGATTGTTTCAGCTCATACTGTCCACAAGAGTGCTTTATCAGAGTAATGCCTTCTTCAGGGAAACAAGACACTGGCTTCAGGTTTGTTCGTTTACTATAAATAAAGGGTATGGAATTACTTGTCATAAAATGTAATACAATGTAAATAACTTTTTTTTTTCCATTCTTAGTGATGTGATTGGCCTAAGCCATTTTGGAGCACCTTTCGGAGCAGCCAAAACAGTGTTTTGGAGCAGCAAAAGTGGATTTTGGAGCAGCCAAGACAATGTTTCGGTGCACCAAAAGTGGCTTTTGGAGCAGATATTCTTAAAAAAAATAAAAACATTTGTTTTCAGTGCAGTACAAACGAAGAGCACTTTATGTTGTGTTGTGCCTTGTTGTGACGGAAGTCGCTGCTTGTGGTTCCACTGCTGAGACATCCCAGAAGTGTACAGTGCTGTAGGCATTGCTGAGCAATTCCGAAAAACCTCTTGCCACCGTTTTACTGGTTCCTGACATACCAGATTTTTGTCAAAACTAAGCAAACGTGAAACAATGGATTGCAAGCGTCCCGGCTGGTGCCTCTATGCACGTGAGGACAACTTCGGCAGGCTTGTAGTTGCGCGCGTGCTACGTTGCGCGAGGGGAGAGGACGGCTGTTTGATCGAAACCGAAACCATGCCACTCCGCTCCGCCGCTAACGGATTCCCAAAATTGTATGCAAAATGTAACTGTCGAGCTTACGACAAAGAACAGTCCAGCGGCGCGTGCTTGCCAGGCCGGCAAACAAAATACAAGCTAAACACATACAAGAAACAACAACAAAAAAAAATAACCTTAGCGCATCGGTGCAAGCAGTGGCGTACCAACTTGTTTTTGAGTGGGGGGACAAACCAGACCTCCCCCCCCCCCCCAGAGGCCGGGGGCCGGTGCCCTTGGGTATCCTTTGGGCGCCACCGGCCAGTGTTTTCCCTGCCACATGGCAGCTGTTTCAGGGGGGGGGGGGGGGGGGGGGGGAGGAGGGGGGGGGGGGCAAAACATGCCTTGCCCCCCCACTCTGAGAACTGGTGGGGGGAGGCGAGCGCTTGGCCCCCCCCGGTTGGTACGCTCATGGATGCAAGACATCGCGAGCCAGGGTCAAAAAGATCTTGGAGCGCTTTGTGCAACGGCTGAACTCAAGACAAACAAGTGCGCTGTGCGGGTTCAGAATGCAGACACTGCTTTCTTTGCTCTAGCTCGCTTCTCTTCACCGACTTCCTTTTGTGGCAGATTTTTCATTTATTGGGGTCCCTCTTAAAAGAAAGCCCACCGAGAGAAACCTAGGTAATCAATACTTCGACACAGCTGTCTTTGAGTTAAAGAGGGACTTTTATAGTAACGTATGATTTAAACAAGAACAGGAATGTTGATGAACATGCGGCGGTACTTAGTTTCATTTTAGAAAGCGCCATACGTTGAAGTCACAAAGAATGCGACTTCAATGTATAGTTCTAGTTTTTTCTGTACGCTTTTTTACGATATGTGTTGACGGCTCCGCACGATTCGCCACATGACAAACGACAAAGCGCTTGGCTGTCAAAAATAAATTACACCAGAAGAGAGCCGAAAGGCATGCACTTTTCACACTCACAAATAATGTGTTTAGCGATGGACAGGGCATGGACATTCAATTCAGAAAGTGTTAACATTCAAACAATATATTGTATGTACCACACGATGCAGCATTATCCGAAAAGAATTTATTTGAGAAAGATCTCAAATAATACAGTCACAGTCAACAACAGTCGCATCTTGACGATCGGACGGAATCCGAGATGACTTCGTTTTGGGGCACATTTTGGGGAAAGCTTCCTTTTTTTCACAACAGCACCAAGTCAAAGGAACGAACGCATCTGACCCGTTTCCCACCCCAACAACTATTTTTGGAGGTGACTGAGGATTCTACGCGGATTATCTCTGGGAGGGAGGAGAACAATGTTCGCAAAATCGCGTGGAGGGTCGTTCGACGTCCTTCACCTCCTTCGTTTCCCGTGAATGTCGAGCAGAAAAGCTTGAATGGCAGGCACTTACCAGCCTTATTTCTCACAATGGAAGATAACACTAAAAGGGTACGTAGCACGCATAAAACAAATTAAGTGGAAACTTTCAAGAGGGGAGAGAAAACGTTGAATACAAAACCGCAAAAACCTAGGTAGAGAACCGCGCTGAGCACGTCTTCATAGTCTAAGAAAGTGGCAGAAAATTTCTAGATGATAGAGGGCGCAAAGGCGCACCAGCCGCATCAGCATCAGCATTATGGTGGCGACCTAAGAGCGTTTTACGGCTGTTGCTGTCAGGAGCGAGTGCTTCAGCTCACAAAGTAACTCCCGCCGCGCAAAAACGTGGTTTCGTTTCACAGCATGACGGCATAGCTGGTACCCGGCACGCTAGCGTCGGAACGTCCGCGCACACCCGCGTCTATTGTTGAAAATATGTTAAAAAAAGACGCGAGACGCGACCCACGAGACGACCAGAACGCGAAACGCGAGATGGCGGGAAAACCATGCAAGACCGGATGGACAACTGATGCAGGGTACTTTGTGTTGGGCGGCCGCTTGCGCCACCTAGCTCATGCATGCTCAATTACGGTACTCAGTTTAGTTTCGGTTTCGAAAGGTGACCGAAATTGGTCCTTTGGCGCAAGCTTGGCACAGATTACCCGTATTTTGTCAAAATGTAGCAAGATGTAGCAGGGTTAGTCCCTCGGCGCAATTTGGCGCAATTGGCGCAGCAATCACATCACTGCATTCTTTATAGCGATGGTTACGGTAGCGTCCAATGGGAACAGGGACCCGGGGTGACATTACAGGTGGGAGCAGGGAGGGCTTTTGGGGGAGAAGGAAGGCCTGCCCCCCTCCCCCATCTAAGGACAAATTTTCTTACAAAGGAAAAGACACACAACCAGAGGTGGACCTAACATTACACCACCCCAGGCAATCTTTGAAATTACCCCCCCCCCTCGATGCCCTCTCCGGTGTTGGTAACATTAATATAAACATATTTCTGCATTATGATTTCCACGAGAAATTGTGAAGGGATTACCCAAAGTTACTTTGGTGACGCCACTATAGAATTAATTGCCAGCTGCAAAGAGTAGGCTCATCTCGCAAGAATTGGAAGGTACAACTCCACATGACAATGTCAACAGCAACAAGCGCAGATGTATAGACTCAAAGGTGAGCAGTTCAAGGGAGTGGCGCTGATGTTCCATCATCCAAGAGCACAAACAATGCTTTAGTGTTTCAAAAACAAGAAGAACATTCCGGTGCCGCAGAATGTTGGGGTAAAGGGGTTGACGTTTCTTGGTGCTTTTGGAAAACTTGCACATAATATTCTGCAACATGCTTAGAATCTCTCGGGTATTCACCGAAAGACTGTGCATCTAAACTCGGAAGTGCGAACATTGAAGAATTTACCGAATCAGAGTTTGCGGCTTGCGGTTCCAAAAGAATGACGACGATACTCGGCTGGTTTCATCGGCGTGGTTAACATATGGTTAACATAATTTTCTTTCTGTGATCGTGCAGTCGCCGATTTCTGTGAGTGCGGCCAAGTGTGTTTTACATCAGCGCTTCAATTTGAAACGAGGGGCTTTACTCGTGAAAAGAATTAGGCATGGCGCGGAATTCTGGTTTCCCAACAATTCCTCTCTGGAAGCGGCGCAAGCGGGATGTTTCGGTTGTGAATCAAGGGTAGATTGAGTCACGATCGTGAGTAAATCTGCAGGCTATAAAGTTTGTTGCGTTTGTTACTTTTCATTTTTCTAACCTGTGCGTTACATTTTTGTGGAATGGTAGGACCAAAAGGTGTTTCTCGCATGGTCTGTCTAACAATACGGCGCTTACATCGGGAGAAAAAACAACTTTTTTTGTCAGCTCCGCGCCGACCGCGGGTCTTTGGCCGAATATATTGAATATTCGAGTGACCAAATACTAGGAATTCGATCCGCGAATCAAATTTGTAGGGAACTTTCTATTTGATTCGAATTCGTATATTCGAGTATTCGCACACCCCTAAAAATCACTATTCGTTATTCTGCTTTTTTTTTCTTGATTCAATTCGGTATTCGATTCGAAAACTACTATTCGGCATTCACACACCCCTAGTTATAACGCATCGTTTTAAGAAGTCCTTGTAAAAACATTTGGCCTTTTTAGATTAGTATTTCAATCAAATTGTTTTTACTCCCTCATCTCTGTCCAACACGTCGCAGTGTCTCTCTTTCTTAAGTATGAATAGGCACCGTTTGGAATATTGGACTATGCACTGATAATATAAATGTGCGGAAGACAACCCAAGGCAGATACTTAGTCAAGCATTATTGCGGCACATATGAGACCTAGACAACAGAATGAGAAAAAAGATGCAAGAAAGACACACATACACACCATCTTTAAAACTGTGTGTGAGATGATAGTTATGTTACAATAGCGTAAACTGTTTCAATTACTACACTAGTGAAAACAGGTTTTCAAAATACCATACACTAATAAATATTCAAATGGCCACATTTAGTTTGTACTGAATTAGTTATGTTTCGATTTCAAGGATCCAATTTCCTTTTAGAAATCATTCTAGCGTCAAAAGCTCAGTGCGTAGAAACTTCATATTACTTGATTTCTTCCGCTTTTACTTTTCCCGTATCCACCGATCACTTGCTCTCGTGTCTAGCTGTGCACCGGCAATATAAAAAGCGATTCCGCAGAGCTCTAAAACCCTTTCAAATGGTAAGACCTCGTCCAATTGCGCTGCAATTTCTGTTGTGCAGCGGGGAAAACTACGCTGACGCAGTGAAAACGACGTCATTGCTAGTGGACCCGCCCAGGGCGGCTAACATGCTGAAACCTCGACGCTTCCGTCTTCGCATCGCCGCGTGCCAATATCACCATGACGCAAAGATGTGAGACGCTGCAAGACGCGCCACCAACGACGCTAAAGCGAGGCAGGAGGCGCTGCATGAGTCAACAAGTGAAGACGTCTGGGAAGGACAGGCTCGGTCTTTTAGCTGGTATCGGTTCACTCCGGATTGTTTCGATCAGATTGAATGAGCATCGTACCGGCATGTGCTCGTGCGCCCGCCACCACTGCCCAACGCGCATTAAAGACCCCCGGCTAGCAGTGGCACTGTACCGGCTAAATTTCTCAGCAACGGCGGAGACAAAAGACGCACACTGGGGCTGACTGACTTCCAGCCGTCCGAAAAAACAAAATACGCAATTGCTCTCGCAGCAAAAAAAAAAAAAGGTGGAAGGCAGTTGAGGGGCGTGTTGTGTCCCCGGGCACTTTGCTGCGTAAGAGTGGAAATAGCGCAGATTTTTTAGCACAGACGCTGCGTGCAAAATGTGTTTTAGGATTGCGAGTTGACTTTACGTGTTCGCATTTTGACTGATCGAGTCGGTCGTGTCGTGGCGGTAAAACAAACGCTGGCCGAGTATCGGAAGATCTCTAAGATAGAAGACAATTCTAGAATGAAAGTTTAACTTTTCTTTTTTTACGAATTTCGAGCGAATTAGAGAATTTTATTTTGTAAAGATTTCCTTTTAGAAAATGCTTAGGGCCAACTATTAGGATTGAAGAATATGCCTCCGCTGAGTTTTGGGATTAAATTGCCCGCTACATTTAGCAGAAAATCTTGCCCACTGCATTTAGTGAAAGAGAAATGTACCCTTTGCCCGTGGCATTGCATCTCTTTGCAGACAAACCCCCAGTCAAATTCCGACCACCCCCTCAAACCTGACACATAAATCCTCCCCTGGCAAGGGGGTGCGAGTATGGCGGCGGCCATAGGGGCCTAAAAAACTGATATGGTTGCGGCTTTGTCGTCTGACTAGAATTAAAGCAAATTATCAAGCTGAGCCAGCGTCGCTGTGCTTTTGGGACTACGTAACTCAAGTTTCCTGGTCTGTGTTGTTGTTCCAAAATTCCGGCTCCCAACAATCAAAAACGCTGTGTAGAAATCATTCAATAATATGCACTCCATGTTTCGTAATGCTATACATATTACTTTACAATAATGAAAGAGGGACATTGAAGACAAACAGACAATACAGGCTTTCGACTTTCAACAAAACGTTGAAAGTCCAAAGACTGCATTGCCTGTTTGTCTTCAATGTCCCTCTGTCGTTATCGCAAATTAGAAACCAATACGCTCAACCATCTAGATATTATTTGGAGTCAAAAATTGGCAGCCACCTTTGTCTCCAAACTCCTACGACGTATGGAATGCAGCATTTATAGGGACCCCTGCCAACCCCACCCTCTATGTCTTTTAGAGCGCAGCTCTTGAGCGCCCGTTTCCGGCTTGAGCAGCGTCGCCATCACCGTAACCGCGCATTGCATTATGGGATGTTTGCCACAATGACGTTCCACGTGATGTCACGAGGGTCACTAGGGTTACGAGTGACATCACGAAGGTCTCTCGTGAAGGCCACACCAACGTCACAACCTTCACGAGTGACGTCACGAGGGTCGCAAGGGGAGAGAGGAGGAAGGGAGAGGACGAAACGAGGAGAATGAGAGGAGCAGGATGGAGACGAGGAGGGGGAGGGTATGGAGGAATAGGAGGGGCATACCCTCCTCTCTGTACCCTCCTCTCCATACCCTCCTCCTCCTTAAAAGCTGCACTCTAATTCGGCATTACAGGGAATTCTAAATGTCTTTCATTTTTTTAGAGCGCAGCTCTTAGGCGCCCGTTTCCGGCTTGAGCGGCGCCGTTGTTGGCGTAATTGTGAGGTCACGTGACCTCATGGGGGGGTCATGTGACCTCACGGGGGCCACGGAGGGGTGAAGGAGGAGGAGGGGAGGAGGAGTAGCAGGCAGGATGACGAGGTGAGATGGAGAGAGAAAGGGAATACTCTCCCCTCAGCACCCTTCCATCCTCCTTCTCAAGAGCTGCCCTCTAATTCGGCGTTACAGGGAGTTGTAAATGGATTTCATTTTTTATTATTACAATAAACAAGAAATGATTCCTAAGCATCATTTCAAGAATTCTTAAGCTTGGGAACAATGCATTTACAAAGAAAACAAACAATTTCAAAATGGCAGATTTGAAATTCTCGCCCGAATTAACAACGTAGATGATGAAACGGTGCGCTCCTCACCTTTTTAAACAACTTCAAATTGGAAGGGTCGTTTAACCTTCTCTCTCGCCCTCTCGTCAACCGTGGCAATCGCAGTGCCCTCAATGGATCTCCGACCGGTGCGATTATTCCGCCCGTGCATCGAAAGCGGCCCCAAAGTGTCGACGAATGACATCGGAAAAGTTGGAGCATCATGCCGTGGGATGTCGCAATACCGGCAGTTAGTGCTAGAAGTTCCGGCACAAAACTCGAGCGAAAACGAGCGTCGTCGCTATCGTCATGATATCCCAATTCCTGGCTGCCAAAAGCTTCCAGGACCGTAAAGCTAGGGTGCAACCTCTGCCGCAACACCGCCAGGATAAACGCGCCGGTCGGAGGTGCGTTTTAAGCAATGTGGTGGAGGGGGGGGGGGTAACCTCGGAAGCGCGACGCGGGCCCGACGTTCCACCCACCGAACTGGACGAGCTCGCGCAGCATGCTGGGGCTCTTCTTCCGGATGGCCAGGTGCAGGGGCGAGTTGCCGTGGACGTCCCGGGTGTTCACCGACACGCCCCGGCGGAGCAGGAGCTGCAGCAGCTCCGGCACGGCCGAGCTCACCGCATCGTGCAGGAAGCGCTTGCCCTGCAGCACCTTAGCCCCCGCGTCCAGCAGCAGCTGCGCCATCACCACGTCCACCTTGGCCACCGCCACCCACAGCGGGCTGCGTCCTGCCCACGGGAGAGAACAAGGTTTCAGGAAACCTGGGCAGATGGAAAGAAAAAGAAGGGGCATGCAATGCCCCTCCTTCTTTCCCCCCTAATATTTTAGTCGCATGGGCACCCTTTACTGCGGTTAAGTGTGACCGAGAACAGACTTGACTGCAGTTAGGGGTGTTCATGTGTTTATGTAACTGCGGTATAGTTAGTAGTAACTGCTAAACCTACTTAAGTGGAACTGCAGCTTGCAAGAACATTCTTAGATCTATCAGTTGTCGAGCTCCACGGACAAGTGGCACTCAAAAACAGTTCTTCTTTGCTGACTGCACGCAAGAGCAGGTACGGACAGATAGGAGAAGAATTATTATTGAGTGACACCCTTTCGGTCCAAACGTTTGCATAAACATAATGTTTATCACAAAAATTACCGCATCTCCATGTAGTGAATGATGTTGATTGGGGCGAAGCTCTGCTGGTGCTTGTCTGCGTAGACGCTGAGCTGCAGTATACCGAGCCTTTTATTCGTTTTCATCCATGTCAGAAAGAGAATGTGTGGTATGGAAGGCGGTTATATACACATTGCAGCATTCGACCGCAGTGCCCTCTCGTCTACAAAAGTTGAGCCAATGCATGCAAAGTTTAACGCGATTATATGCGCATTTGACCGCAGTGCCCTCTCCTGTATAGACATTGAGTGGCTACATGCAACGTTTCATCCACGACATCCCCAGCTCTTGAGTTACTACCACATCTCAGAGCCCCCTGCTTGTCCCGCAGTCGTGGCCGAGTGGTTAAGGCGATGGACTAGAAATCCATTGGGGTCTCCCCGCGCAGGTTCAAATCCTGTTGACTGCGCAAACATTTTTTTTTTTAGTCATTTTTTTTTTTGCTTTACACGAGCACGTAAGCATGATAGCTCAAGAGCACGAGCACCAGCACCAGCAAGATCGATGTGAGCACAGACACCAGACGGATAAGGCTAGACCCTAAGGAGCTTTGCCCCCAAAATCCCGATTGATTCACTTTTCTTTGGAACCAATGTGAATTCAATGAAATAGTCACCCTCCCATCACTTGATATTTTTGTTGAAGCAATCGCTTCCGCCACGAGAAAGTGCTCATAAGTACATCACATCATGCCATTATGTAACCACCCCTGCTATGGCTCACAGATGTGAGCCGCAGTATTCTTTAAATAAAAATTAAAAAAAACATTCTACCGGTTCTGTCCATGGGATGGGCCAACAGCGTAACGAGCGCCCTTGAGTGGACGTGGCACGGAAGTGCACCAGGTGTTCGGGCAGCTTGTCAACTTGACTGATCTTAGAAATGTCGGTTTAGGATGCGTGTCAGACACCCTTAAATCTAGTAAAGTCTGACCACAGCCACACTTAACTGTGGTTAAGGGTGCCTGTTTAACTAGGCTATTAGCCTCCTAAATGCAGCTTCTTTTGTGAAGAAAACGACAACCTATACCAACTTTTTCTTTCTCCACACTTGCAAGCAGGGATGGCAGTATTTCAAATATTTGAAATACGTATTTCAAATACTTTGTGTATTTTGCATTTGTATTTAATTGCAAATTGGGTAATGTATTTGACGTGTGTATTTAAATACTAAAACGTGGGTACAGTATAGACCACTTACAACGTAACCGCTTATAGTGCAGGACCGGGTATAACGCGGTTTTTTTAAACCACCGGTTCACCTCCCATAGAACTCCATGTAATTACATACCGCTTAAAATGCAGGCGCGCGAAGGGAAATACCGGTTATAGTGCGGTTTTTGGCACAGCCTGCCGACTGCGCCGACGACCGGAGCAGCGAGCTCGCTTCCCTGGGCGACACTAGATAACGGCGCGACCCGCAAACTGCACTCGCGGGGCGAGGAGGTTGCTCGAAAACGCGGGGAGAATCGAAGAGAGAGGCTTCAGTTGCCATAGCGACGGAGGGACGCACGCACGAGTCGTTCACGTGTGTGCGTCCCTCCGCTGCGTTGGAAACAAAGAAACAAACAACCGCAACGACAGACCAATCGCAGGTCGAGGAGAAGTGTTCGCGCGCGTTGCATGCCGGTCGCGGGCCGGCTGCTTCTTTTCCGCAAACATGGCGTCGGTTGTGATCGTTGTCGTAGACGGCGTTCATCTCATCGTTCTGCGTAAAAGCGCTATCCTTGACTGTGAATTTTCGTTGTGTGTCGCTATGATAACCCAGAACGTACTAGAAGGGAAGATCCACCTACTCGTGCGGCGATGTCGTGGCGGCGCTCTCAAGACGGCAGAAACGCCCGTGTCGTTGTGTTTGTTTACTTCGACTAGAGTGGTGATTTCTAAGCATTTGTGTCCTCGAACATCGCCCGGATTTCTTACTTGGCGCATTTCATGCGTGTGCTCAAGTTCAAGGTATTACTGGCGCGTACCGTATGAAGGATGCGAATTTTCACGCGTTTTCATCTCCGGAGAAAAGTGATTAGGGTTAGCAATCCTGAACGCTCGCAACGTCCGTCCACAACCCGCGACGTCGTTAAAAGGCTGCGCCAGGCAAAAGCCACTCATTTCGTTGAAAATGTGTAACACACTTGAGACAGAACTGTACTAGTCTGGTGAAATAAAGACTTTCCTCAAACTAAGCTTTATTTTTCATCTAACATAAAATAAATTCTTTTACAAAGGTAAGTTGTCTCATGGCATGTATTTTGGCCTGAAAAATTGATGTTTTGGTTATAGTGCGGTACCGCTTATAGTGCGGATTTTCGCGACTCCCGAGACATACGTTATATGCGGTCTACACTGTATTTCAAATACAATTGTAATTAAATACATTTTTGTGGGTGAAAATACATCCCTCAAATTTATTGTCACGACTCATTTTGCTCATCCTAAGACGCGTCCAAAGCTGCTTGTTCTTCATCTCAACGCCAACGGCAACAACAAATCAAGAAACTCTTCATACACCAGTCCTGCGGCAGTTCGCGTCTCGCTCACCGCAGGCGCCCCGGCACGCCGGGCATGCATCGTCTCATGCTGAGACGTTGAAACTGCCAGCCACGCCTTCCTGGGACCCCGACCTGAGGGCGCTGTCTGTGCACCGTCGGGGAGGTCGGAATCGAACGCCTCGTGCAAAAGGGAGTCGGAGGCGAGCCATCCTTGCAGAAACAAACTTCTTGCCCCCCCCTTCCTGCTCCTTTTCCTACACACACGCAGACGCGTGCGCGCGCGCACACAGCACACGAAAAGCAAATAGCACAATAAAACATTCTCTATGACCGAAGCCATGGAGGCTGGAGGATTCGAAGTACTGGGTGTCTAGAAATGGTGAGGAGGCTTTTTCATTTTTTTTTTAATTTGTTGAGCTTGCAAAGGACTTGCATGTTTTCTGACATGCAACAGCGCTAGTGCCTCCTGCCACGAGATTCGTCCGGATGAGTGGGGTGCTTGTCGCAGTGCAAACTTTTCTTCGTGGGAGCTCGACCGACGGGTAAGTTTTGAAAGAGGCGCCCCTAAGTGGTTTCCTATTCGCAAATCCAAACGAGTCGCCGCTATCTAGTGGTCGATACATGACGCGTTGAAACGGGGAGCTCGCGGCGATTGGAATGCGCAGCGGAAGCTGGCGTGGCCTAGGGAACGAAAGTTGAAACAGAGGAGCCAGTATAAAAGAGCACGTGGTTGGAGCTGCGAATATCCTATCTCGTGAATTCACTGCTTTTTCGAAGTGTAGACATTTCGCAAAGATTGGTACAGCTGGAACGCATGACCTTCGTAGAAATTCAAGTCCTAGCAGCTACCCTTTCCCACTGACAGTCCTGCCAGCCTCTACGCCTCGGTAAAATACGCCCCGGCAAAAAAATGCTCCTGTACTGACCGTTTGCACGACTGCGGATTGGCTGCTGATAACTTCGAAACAACTTTTTGGTTTCTGTTTAATTTCATTTTACTTTTATTTCTGCAATCTTAATATCTTGTGAGCCAAATTGATGTATGTGAGCCAAATGGATGTACTATCGCGAAAGTACTTAACAACATCACGCGAGCATGCGTTGTTTTTTTTTGAGGAGCGTTTGCTTGGTGACTTGCAAAAGAACTAAAGCTGATGCGACGGCCAGTCCATGTGGACTGCACGGGGGGCAGCCCGTCGACGCAAGCGAAATGCCGTTATCATCTCCCTGGGTGACAGCGTGGTTTGGGTGAAAGGAGAGAGATCATTTCACAAAAAAGAAAAAAAGATTGCTGATCAATACATCGCTTCTTTTGACAGCGTTCGGCGGCATCCGTCTTTCGATTTTGTTTTTCTGTTAGCTTTTTTTCTTTTTAGTCAACCCGCACTATTCACCTCGAGATCCAGTTTCAAAAGTGGGGACACGTGCTTTTGTTTATCCATGGTCTCCTATGGGCATTCTTTCGTGAACGCAGAGGAGATGACCACAACCGTCCCCGCTTTCAACATGAACCACAAGCAACGCCAGAGATACGAGATCTTGGCTTGAGACACTGCTTCTAGCTAGACGCTAAATTAGTGCCTTTTAAAGCTTCGACCATGCGTCTGTAGCCTTCACTGTACTCCAAGTGAGTGCAAATTGAGGCATAGTTCCGCCTTTCGCCACCGTGTGCGTGACGGTTCGATCTCGAGGCGAATACTGCGTTTTCATCTTCGGTTGGAGCGCAGCGGAACTACGGGCCATCCCAGCCAATCCAGCGTTGAGAGCGCGTGGCGAGGCCTTGAGCCGCGTGTCGCTCCTTCCAACCGGAAGGTCACGTGATACTCTCCCAGCGCTGGGTTGGCTGGGATGGCCCGCAGCGTTCGATGCGCTCTGACTGAATGTGAAACAGAGTCTGCTACGCGGGGAGATGATAACGGCGCTTAGCTTGCATTTACGGACTCACCCCGTGCGTTTTACATGAGCTGGCCCTGACGTCACCTGCAGTTCTTTTACAAGTCACCAGGAAAGCACTCTTCAGAAAGAGCGCACGCTAGCGTGATGTTGTTACGTCCTTTTGCGATAGTACCTTTGCCGTG